GGCAGGAGAGTCCCAACTTTGAAGCTAGCTTCAGCAATTTAGTGAGACCCTGTGTCAAAATAAAAATTTAAAAAGGCTCTATCTCTCTAAGACAGTGCTAGAGTGCCCAAGTTCAGTCCCCAGTACTGAAAAACAAGCACCAAAAATAGATAAAAAGAAAAGAATAATGCCTATAAGAAATATAAATACCAAGTCTTTTGAGACCTTTCTCTGTATATATAAAAGCTCTATAATAAAAGGAGATACATAGTAAAAGAAGCAAGAAATGAGATAAGTGAGACCAGGGAAAGATACAATGACTTTTCCTTTAAATTTACCAAATCTCATCTGAGTCTGGAACTATGTGTCCCAGCCTAGGAATTCTGAGTTGTGCTGGTCCTGCCTGCCTGCGGGTTCGGCCCACCCAGTTAGAGTAGTCTGTCTTTAGGGGTACTTTCACAACACGTTTTTAATAAAACATTTTCCTTTAAAATGTCTGAGGTTGCTAGGTGGGTACAGGGGAGGCACCCTTGACCCCACAGAGGGAATTCAAGTGATGGCACACCAAGCTGTCCCTCCCAGCTGACCAAGCTTTTGAAACAAGTCCTCTTGCAGTGGCAGGTCAGCGAGACCTCCTCCATGGGAACACGGTGTTATTGACCTGCCTCTTCCCACACAAGGTCTGTTTTGATCCTCCCGCCCTCCACACCAGCTGAGGCCTGCTCCAGGGCTGAGCCTTGGCCCCTCCATACTTCTGCAGAGGAGCAGGGCCCGCCCACACCAGCGAGGTCTGGGAGCAGCTCCTGCAGCCTGTGCTTCACACCCTTGTCCTTCAGCCCTGTCCCAGGGAAGAGGATGAGTGCCCAGATAGAAAGGGTTGGGTCCTGCTTGGAAGAGTCGCTTCCTGGCCAGCTTGAAGCCTCTTCACTCCTCTTCCACTTCATTTCTGTCCCTTTGATATCACTGACCCAGAAGACCGCAGGCCCCATGAAGTCAGCCTTCCTGGCCAGCGCTTACTTAGCACAGTGGGAGAAATGCTGGGGCCAAAGGGGAGGGGCAGTTCTAGGAAGAGTGGGAAGCCGAGCCTTGAGTCTTGAAGGCTAGAGGCACTTGTGGGTAGCAGTGGTGGCCCCCTCACAGTTCAAACTTGCCCAGTGGGTGTTTTCTGGGAGCTGAGGGCCAGCTGGAATTTTTAAGCAGCAGTGATCTATGCAGGTAGGTGAGGCAGAGGGCATGGAGGGGAGGACTCAGTGTCCAGGAAGGCAGTGACAGTGGACAGTCTGTAGGGTCTCTGGAAGGTAGAGTGGGGGGGACACAGACCAAGTCTGAGAGGACAGCCTTGAGTTCACCAGTGGCATGGGTGTGGCCCACTTTGGATGTTATGGGTTCCCAGACTCCAGGGAGAAGATCATCAATGACAACGGGAAGGAGGAAGCTAGAGGCAGGTAGGAGGGCTGGCGGGGAGGTGCTCTCCGCATCCACAGAGCTGGGAGTAGCTGTCAAGTCCAAGGGCATTTGGTAGAGCAGCTTTTTTTCCCCCAAAAAAACTTCTTTTAGCAGCAAAACCTTTTGTTGTTACTCCCTGAAGAGAATGCAACATGAAGCAGGAGTGTGAGGCTCCAGGGCTGCTTGGGGGCTGGCCAAACTGGGGCAGAGGAACACAGCTGCTAGGGAAGGAACAGCCAGCCTTGCCAGGGTAGGAGGATGGTGTGCAGGGAGGGAGTGTACGTCATTACAGCTTTTCTGAGGGTTGTTTTGTTGTATTTTTTTCTTTGACATGGAGTCCAAGTTGCCCAGGCTGGTCTCGAACTTTCGATCCTCCGGGTCAGTCCCCCACCCCGAGTAGCGGGGATTACCGGGGTATACCACCTCACCCAGCTGAGAGGGCAGTTTGGTGATATTTGTCAAAAATCACAGAACTTTTGACCCAGATTTTTCACTGGTGGGAAATTATCTTACTAAAATACTTGCACAGTACATAAAGGTGTAGGTATAAAGTGCTCATTACCATTCTGATAAATTGCAGGCATTCCAAACACATCAGAATAAGCATCTTAAACATGGCCCACTTCAGAAATAATTTAGCTGTTTAATTTATATATGTTAATACAGAAAGATCTCCAAAGGTGCATTTTTAGGTGGTGGGGGCGGGGGGGGATTAGAACCAAGTATGGCTACATTTCTGTCAAAACACAGAAGAAGGGTATGCATGTATTTTTATACTGTGTTTTAAAGTGATCTGAAGTAGTATGCATTGCCTACCAACACAGGTTACCTCTGGGACCTGAGATTAAAGGGGTTTCCTTTTTCTAAGTCTTTGTGCCTATCACTTTTGAATTTTTTCTTTCAAGCACTTATTAATATTAAGAAGAAAATAAAAGTTTTGGAAGGATGAAGCTACCGAAGTTAGCGTGGTAGGAGGAGAGGCTGGAGCAGGGGAGAGCTGAGGACACTAGTCCACAGTAGAGCCACTGGGATAAGACAGGGACGCATACCTGAGGGTGATGGAGGTTTTGAAGGAGGATAGGAGAAACCAGGTCAGATGCCACTCAGAGGTCAAAAGAAGTGACCATCAAGTTTGAGAAGAGGTTGGCTTCAGTTGATCCCATGGGTTTCTTTTGCTACTAACTTGCCAGTGGACACACTATCCTGTTGTTGCTCTTTTGCATCTGTGCTATAAAAAAATCAAAGAACAAAGAAAATGAAGTTGTGATTCTTACAAGTGTCCACCTAAACCTGTGGTTTTTATGAATTTGGAGATACTTATCCAGATATCTCTGTGGCCTGCTGGAAGGACACTCGAGTACCACCTCAGCAGTAATATTTTTGTCCGCTCCTTTAAAAAGCATAGTAGGTGGGACCAAAGTGCCCCGACTTTGCCCTTGTTTGTGTGATTATTATCCTTCTTGACCTAGTCTCGCTCTCTCTTTTTTTTAACCTTCTAAAGTTGGATGATGACTAACATTGAGGACAAAGGCAGGCCCACTTAGAGCTTTCTGCTTTTATTCACTCGATATTTGGGCCTGCTCCTTTTCTTTGGGCCTGGGTATTTCACAGTCATTCTGGCTTGGCAGGTTCCCACTTGGTTCGAGCCAGTTCTCGAATAATAGCATGTGAATAGCGTGTTTTCCTCGCCCCAGGACTTGTGTGCTATTTACTGCACCAACTAGGGCAGGTGAGCAGCTCACAGAGGGGCCCTCTTTCAGCTCCGCTCCCCTCTAGGCAGCTTTTTCTGAAGACCTTCTCCTCTCCTAAAAGTTTACTGGATAAAGAATGGGAAACGCTGGAGATTTGGGGGTTTTCAGAAATAAGCATCTTAAACATGGCCCACTTCAGAATTTTTCTTTTGGGCCAGATTAGGCCCTAAAGCTTAGTTTTGCTTTAACAACTGGATTACCATAACTTTCTTCCACATTTTTATTTCATGAATTTTTAATTTGTTTTGTTTTTACTGTTTTGGAAAGTTTTATGTGATGTGAATCAGTTTTCTTAAAGCTGAATTTTAATTTCAAAATTTCCTTGGGACTTAAATTCGTAACAGTGTGTTAGCTCACATGCCATCCAAGTATAATGCTTTCAAGATTCCAGATGGTTTCTATCTGGATTGTGGATTTGAGCTGAGAGTTAAAAGATGTTCCCTGGCTGGGAGTATAGTTGAGTGGTAGAGTGCTTGCCTAGCTTGCAGGAGGCCCTGGATTCCATCCCCAGCACCACAGAAGAGTATTGCTCCCTGTTTGCTTCCTTCCAAACCATTTGCGGTCCTCATGAGCTCCAGTTACCCTTCCCTAGCAGCTGAATTAAGGTCTACTGTTAATCGTATTTCTAAACTGAGGGCATCTAACGACAGCAAGAAACATTGGCTTGGCTACACATTCCCTAACAGAGATGACTGATTCTCTAAGTTTCACCTGAATTTAGACCTGTTGATAAATAATGAGCAGATCCTGGTGGCCGTCTGATTCGCAAGGTATGAGAAGTAGCTGGTGGATCTGCAGGAGAGATAGGTATTCTGTCTGCATTAGCAGAGAAATGATGAATAATAAACATGAATTAGCACCATCTGGGTTGAAATTCCCCACCAGGGATGAATGTTTATTAAAAAATACATGATCATTGACAGTTTCCCCCACGCATCTGTGCCTTCCTTTTAGAGAACAGCTTATGGAATTGGTGTTTCGTTTTTAGTCTCAATTGCTTTTGCCAAAACTTATCCACTAACTTCTGGAAAATGCATAGGTGCCACTGGTGGGCCATTTCTCTGATATAAGTTGAGGGTTTTCATCCTTGTTTTGCTTTAATTTGGTAGTGACAGGAAAGGTGGGTCTCTGTGCAACCAATAATAGCTGGGAGATGAAGCGAACGATCAGCCTTCAAAATGAGCTTGACCCTGAAGGCCAGGAGTTTGCATTGCTGTGATAGGAGAAAGCCTGAACCTGCTGAAAATTTCCAGTATTTGTAACTGATGTAAAATTTATGAATAGCTCTGTGGAAATTAGTCTTTATATTAACAGGTTCAAGTGAGCATCAAACCTTGGCTAACATTAGCTGTTGCTAGCTGCAAAGTCTCTGATTGGCTAGAAATGGCTCAAGTTAGACAAAATGTGGTATATCAGCATTTTGGTTTGACATGAATCAGTTGATGGTTGGTAATGGTTTATTTGTTCAACATAAATTTATGAACTTATTTGCCAAGCAAGCATTTCAACAAATACTTCTTGAGAGTCTGTGGGGGTCCAGTGGTCAGGGATGGGGAGACAACTGTGGATGAGGCAGACGCAGTCCCTGCCCTCAGAGGGCTGGTGGTGGACTGAAGAGCAGGATTAAGCATTTGACTTTGGGAGTGTGCTGGACAAGGGGGTGTTGTAGGAGAGAACTGGTCCCTGCCTTCTGGGGTGCTCGGCCTCGTTGGGTCAACAGAGACATCACACAAGTGTTCAAAAAAATATTGTAGGATGCAGCACAGGGAAGCCAGGTGTGGGTGTGAACTGTGAGTGCTAATGACTGTCTTCTGCCCTCCACAGCATGGACAAGGACAGCCCAGATGTCCACCAGGACCTGAATGCCCTCAAAACCAAGTTCCAGGAGATGCGGAAGCTCATCAGCACCATGCCGGGCATTCACCTGAGCCCTGAGCAGCAGCAGCAGCAGCTGCACAGCCTCCGGGAGCAGGTCAGGACCAAGAACGAGCTCCTGCAGAAGTACAAGAGCCTCTGCATGTTCGAGATCCCCAAGGAGTAGAGGCCGCCAGTGTCCAGGACCCAGAGGAGGGCAGGGGAGGCAGCCGGCTTCCTTGCCCACAGTTCCTCTGGACTCTAGCTCTGAGCCTGGCCTCACCAGCCGCAAGCTGTACATACCCATGTGGCTAAGGCATGCCGACTTGAGCGTCTGCCACTGGAAGCCAGAGGATTCCTGAGGCTGGGGGGAAGGGCTGCCCTGTACTGGGGAGGGGGCCATCTGCTGTGTGTCTGGGTCCCTCCCGCAGATCTGAAGAGCACAGTAGGAAAGGAGGCGGCTCTTCCTTGCTTCCTGCCCTCCCGCTCCTCCCACCTCTGATACAATCAGCATGTACCAGGTACATATTGTTCCTGTTAGCAGCCGTTTGGTGAAACATTTGCATAGAATTCACTGGACAAATTAGGCCTGTACTCATATGGCATGGGTTTAATATGATTAAAGAAGACTGTGAGAGAATGAGCCTTGTTCTGAAAGGCCAGAGGGTGGGTGGCTTTCTCTCCCCTCTCCAAAACAGTTTGGTTCCTTTTATGTTTGAGCCAGTGAGCGGGGGTGGGGGTGGGGGGGTGGGGTGGGGGTGTCCCCTCAGTGCCCCCCCACCGCCAGGCTGCCGCTGACTCCAGGCTCAGTCTTCCTTTCTGTTCGGCTCTTGCTGCCATTGTCTTCTGTCACCTTCAGTTAGTGATGGAGAAGAGCCAACTTTCCACAGCCACAGTGCTTCCTCAGGGATGGAGAGGGCCGGACCTTGGCTTGCAGGCTCAAATAGAGTTTTAGATCCAAGAGCAGATCTCCCCATGATACCCATTGCCCCGGCTCAAACCATTATTTCCCCTCTGGGCTTCTCACCACAGACAGCCCTGTTGGCTATCCTGCAAACAAAAGGGTTCACAGTGCACTTTTTGTTGAGAAGGGGACTCTCAGTGGCAGTTGGAATGTCCCCTCAGCCAGGTGTGACAAGGGAGTTCTGGATCGGTTCTGATGGGATGGGCGGGCTAGGTCTAGAAGTTACAAGGCCAAGTTCTAGTTCTTACATGTTTATAAACAGCCCTCACTCCCCCAGCTCCATGATTTTTTTCTGATGGGACACTATGTGTGCTCTCCCCTTCTCTGCAGTGGGTATGACAGCAGTTCTTCCCCTGACTCTTTAAGAGTGAGGTGAGAAGTAACTGAATATTGATTGCATCTAGAAATGGGCACATAATCTGCTGACCAGCTCAGGGGCTTAGCAGGTGCCCGTTGACTGGCCTCGTTGGCAGAAGTACTGGTTGGAGATGTTTTTAGCAGGGGTTCTAGTGGTGTCAGCCTGCAGCCACCTGTCAGAAGATGGCTGGGTTTCAAAGACAGGCTTTGGCCAGAAGAGTAGGCTCTGAGTTTAAGTGGGTGGCCACCTATTGGACCAGTTCTATCTTGGGACTGTTATTTAACTGAATCAGTTATTCTTAAAGTTTCAGAGTAGCAGGTGGGCCAATTTTAAGGCTCTAACCAAATACCATGAAACATGAAGCACGTAAAAATACAAGACCTTTAGGGCCTTTCTGGGAGTCTGAAATGGAGATGGTGCGTGTGGGGGGGATGAACTTCTCTGTTTTCCATGATTTGATTTGTGATATTTTTCCAATGTATGATTAAAAGTACTTATTGCTCTATTGCCGGGACACCCGGGTTTTTTGTGTTTGCTTTTGCAGTGCTGGGGGGTCAAACCCAGGGGATCATGGTTTTTTATGCCCGGGAATTCATAGTGGGTGTATCTTGCATAGTTGAGAGGAAGGTATTCACTTTGCTGAGACAAAGAATAAAATGTGAACACCCTCTGCTCCTTGCCCCTCTCCTTGTAGTGCAGTTAAACAACATAAAAACAGTAATTGCTGGGCACAGTGGTACATGCCTGTAATCCCAGTTACTCTGGAGGCTGAGAGTCAGATGGCCATCCAGGGCAACTTCGCAAGACCTATCTCAAGATAAATAAAAAAAAGATCTGGGGATGTAGCTCAGTGGTAAGGTACCCTGGTTTCAATCTCCGGTACCAAAAAAAAAAAAAAAGAAGAAGAAGAACTCTTCCTCAAGAGCAGCATCTGTCCCACAGGTGAATGGGCCTGTGTGAGCCACCTCTGGGCTATCCCTCCTCCCAGGGAGGTGGGGGGGTGGGTTGTTTGATAACTTTTGGTAATTTGAGGAGGTCTAGTACTGGCAGGGAGTGGCCCTCACCAGAGCAGGGCTGAAGTCCCTTCCCTAGTTTTGAGTCTCCTTCACAGGGAGCTGAGCACCCTCTAAGAAGCCACCAGTTGTGTGGGTTACTGGGTGGCAGGCACTTGTGCTACTTGTGTCACATTGAATCCCCACAGCTACTCCATGTGGAGGGTCTTCTCTGTATTTCTCAGGTGATGAATCTGAGCTTTAGCAGGTGTCACTTGTTTCAAGCTTACACAGAGCTGGGTCAGGAGTTACAAGCAGATGGCCTTAACCACTGAGGGACCCCACCCAGGGCAGCAAGTGCCTTTGGAAGCTACAGGGGGAGCTGGAGGCAGTGGGGATCTTAACTATCTCTAGCCACATAACCCTGGGGCAAGAGGACAAGGGTCCAGCACAAGCCTGCTCCCCATGGGTCTCCCTGGTTCCATTTTCTTATTTGTGACAGTCAGGCCCGAGTGTCAAACAATCTGCATTTCAAGTTTGACAAGCTTCTGTAGCTTGGGTCTGCCCTGTGATGAGTGAGAAATCAGTTCTACAGAAGAGGAAATAAGAATGTTCACTCAGAACACCAAGCCCAAGGTGACCGGGCTAAAGGAGAATAAGCAGGTAGATGGCTAGAAAGACTTTTTAGGGAGATCCCTGAAATCCTTCTCTGTCCTGATTTTCTAGAAGCCCCTTCATCTGGAGTTTTTTTTTAGTTTCCTCCCCCATGAGGCTTGAAGCTGTTTCCAGAAGGGCAGGGTTATTCTCCTGTTCTGGAGAAGGTGATGTCCAAGTCACTGCAGCCGAAACCCAGCCTCCTCCCTTCTCCCCCAACCCCTTCTAGAAGCAAAGAAAGCCGTGTTTTCCATGTTAAATTATTTTATTTTATATTAAAAAAACAACAACAATAACTTTAGAGTTTCACACACACACACACAGTATAAACACCTGGATAGGATTTTGTTCATGTCCATGTCGACAGCGGAACTACTATTAAAGTGCAAGTTTTCTGTTTTGTTTTTCCTTTGTGCAACTTCACACACACACATGTAAACAAGTCTCTTGGCTATGACTTGACCCACGCACCCCCGCCAGTTTTTTTCTGGAGGACAGAGGCCTTTGCCAGCTGTTACCAGCAATGGGGAATCACAGACAAGATAATGCCCCAAGGGTCCTGACCCTCAGGCTAAAGCCAGGCAGGACCGGTTACTTGATGCCCAACAGTGGCTGGTGAACTTCGCTTCACCCCCTCCGTACTCTCATTCTCTGGTCTCTGATTTAAAAAAAAAAAAAAGAAAGAAAGAAACGCCCCCTCTGCTGGGCCACCATCCACGTTGTGAGGGTGGAGGACGCCAACAGAGAGGCTCAAAGGTGGGGGAGTCCAGGTCTTTGCCAGTTCTCCTTCCTTCCGGAGCAGATGACCGTCCCTTCTCTGGTGGCGCCTTCACAGTGCGCGAGGCCGGGTTTCGCGAAGGGAAGACACCAGTCCGCGTGCACTCGCGGCCCGGGGCGCGCCCAGGCTGGCCCAGGCGTCGAATTTGACTTACACAAAAAAAGTCCTCCTTGGATTGTGTCGCCGGCGCGGTGGGGGGCTCCTAGCTAATGACGCAGCGCTCCTTGTCCTTGGCCTGGCCGCCGCCGCTGGCCTTCTCGCGGATGTACATGAGGTCGCTGTGCACGCTGGGCCTGCGCGCGAAGGGCGCCACAATGCCGAAGGCGTCCCCCGGGTCGCCGCCGCCCCCGCTGCCGGCCCGCAGCAGCTTCTTGTTCCGCAGCGCCTTTTTGTGCAGCACGTCGCAGTACTGCACCGACACCTTGCGGTGCAGGTCGGGGCTCATCTCGCTCGGCAGCTTGGCCATGGCGAAGAGCGCGCGGAACATCTGGTCTAGGCTGCTGTTCTTCTTGGCTGAAATCTCGAAGTAGGCGCAGCGCTGGGGGTCGTCGCCCACCAGCTGCTCGATCTCGCGCTGCTCCACCTCGCGGTAGAAGTCCCGGTCCCCCTTGTTCCCGCAGATGACCAGGGGCACGTCCACGTTCTCCTTAGTTTTGTTCTTGAGGCAAGACTTGGTGTCCAAGATCTGCTGCTTGAGCCTCTGCACCTCCTCGAAGGAGTCGCGGTTGTCCAGGCTGAACACCAGGATGAAAACGTCTCCTGCAGAGCGGGGACAGGGGACAGAGAGGTGAGGGCGGCTGCCAAGGGGCTCCCGCAGCCGCGCGAGGCGCGCGGTGCGCTTAAGCGCAAAGCTCAGAGCGCAGAAGTGGGACCCGCCGCGCCGCGCCGCCAGCCGGCCCTCGCAGGGTTAGCCTGGACCCGGTCCCCACGCCCTCCCACCCGCGCCCGCGCCCGCCGTCCGCTCCGGCTCCCCCCAGCTCACCTGTGAGGATGGAGAGGCGCCGCATGGCTGGGAACGGGTGGTTGCCGGACGTGTCCAGGATGTCGAGCTGGTAGACCTCGCCGCGGATGGAGTAGAACTTGCGGTGGAAGTCCTCGATCGTGGGTGTGTAGGCATCCTCGAAGCGCCCGGTGAGGAAGCGCGACACGATGGCCGTCTTGCCTACCTTGGACGAACCGAGGATGACCATGCGGTAGCAGTTCTTGGCCGGGATACTCAGCTCCGAGTCGGTCGGACACATCTTCTTGATCATCGCCGCCAGTTTCATTGGGTGGAGGGGCCGCGGGGCGGATGCGGGGCCGAGAGAAGTGCTGAGGGCTACCGAGGGCGCGAGAGTGGACACGCCGGAGCGGCAGGGGACTCTGCTCGGGCTCAACTCGCCTGCAGATCGTCTCCGGCTCAGGACAGGGCTCTGGACGGGCTCGGACTCGGGTTAACTCTCTGAACACAGGCAGCTCGCTCTGGCTCTGCTCGTCCCGCCGCCGCCTTTATATGCAGCCGGCGGGGGCCGCCCCGCCCCGCGCCACCCTGCGCCCTCCCAGCCTCAGTGCGTCACGCCCCGCGGGCACCCTCCTCTGCTTCCCCGCACCCGCTCCTGCCCGCGACCTCAGCAGCTGCACTGCTGCTGCCCGGTGGGCGCGCGAAGGAAACCGAGTCCGGGTTGGGGGCTAAGGGCGCGCGAACCCACCGCACAGGGCACAGCGGCTGCAAGGGGCGTCAGTTGTCCTGGTCCTGGCTGTGCCTGACTTGGTCACTTCGGGCTAGGACCCCCAACACCGGCGCACAGACACTTAGTCTTTCTTTAGGCCTCAGTTTCCCCAGAAAATAACGACAATAATCCAGCAGGAGCAGCGTTTTCGGGCTTCGGGTGAGAGCCCCTAACGCCAGCCCCTTCCCCTGGGGCGAGCGCTTGTTCCTTGGGGGTAGTGGCCCAGCGGTGGTGGCTTTTGCAGGCTTCCTGAGCTGAGGCCCGCGCTGCACTCTCAGGCCGCCAGAGGGCAGCAGAGGACCCCGCCCGCAGCATGGGGAGCCGGCCGGAGGGTCGCAGGGCTGTAGAGCCTACAAGGGGCTGTAGGTGGGGACCGAAGGGAGCAAGGGGGCACGAAAACTGGGGCGCGGTGCTGAGATCCAGCAGGAGCCGACCTCTACTCTAGCGCTCTATTGAAGATCTCAGGCTGTTCCTTTCTCCCAACCAGAGACACTCTGTGGCCTGGAGGGGTCCTCAGCCAGGGGCAGCCTCCACCCTTTTCTGGTCCTTGACCCCAAAGGCCCAGACTCACCTTTCCTTTGGTCCGCCCTAGGTCAGCGTCGTATCCCCTACCCCATGGCACTTTGGGCTTTTGTAGTCCTGCAGACTAACATTCCCTTTTGGTAGTGGAGGGACCCGGGGCACAAAGCCACAGAAGTGGCCCCGGAGCACTGCCAGCCTCCTGTCCTCTCTGGGCCTCAGTTTCCTCTTGTGGAAGATGGTGGTTCTGACTGGGGGGGGGGCATGCAAACACACCAGGAGGGCAGGACCCGATCAAAACAATAACAATGTGTAGTCAGTGGCCCGTGAGTGAGTCCCCTCGAGTGGAGACTGGCAGCTTCTGGCAGGTTGATCAGTAACCAGAAGTGGGCTGGCTCTCCTGGAAGGCCCAGAGCAGGCTGTCTGGGGCCAACTGCAGCCCAGAGATCCTGAAGGGACGGCCACTCTGGCTAAGATAGGTGAGGCTGCGCTCTTTCAGTCTTGCATCTGATTTGGGAGAGACCCAGGAAGTATTAACCATCCCAGCACCCAACAATGGGGCTCTGGGTGCCAGGCCCACGTGCCCAGCTCTTCACAGAGTGCCAGTGGAGGGGCTTTCAAAGGCCATCGCAGCAGAACCCCTCCTCTGATGACCCAGGATTCTATTCCAATCTCCCCATCTCTGTGGAATAGTGCAGGAGTCCACCCCCAGGGCTTACACAGAGCCTGGAGTGTTTCTTCGGGGTCCAGCCCTGTTCTAAATGATGCTGCCCTTCCTCCAAGCAGCCTTGATTGGTAGGACTATTAATCTCTCCATTTTACACATGATGGAGGCCCAGGGAAGTGAGATGCAGGAGTCCCAAAGCTACTAACTATGGCGGGCTTACACCCACCAGCGCAGAGACCTGTCGCTCTGCCCATCCCTGTTCCTCCACAATGGCTCCAGCTACGGGGCTACTACCAATGTCCAGCTCAGTTCTCAGCCCAGCAGGGTACCCACCCTCAGAGAATCCTCTGGCTTCTCTCCCAGGTCTCACTCTTGAGGTCAGATGTTTCGAGCAGACACCACAAAGTGGACACCCACCCACGGAGTGAGTGTGTCCTCTTGGGCTTTTGAGAAGGAGCCATGACCGTGCCAAGCTGCAGGACATTCACTGCAAAAAGGGGCTTGTCGAGGTGCACGTGGGGACTGGTCCTCTCCCCTGTGTCCTCTGCTGGGCCCTGACTCAGGATGAGACTGGCCAGGGTTGGAGTAAAGGTGGACCTGTGTAGCCATTCTACTCCGAGTCTCCAAGACTAGGAGTGTCCATTTGATAAGAGCGGAGGGTCCAAGAGTGGCAGGACCAAGGATCTGACCCAGCTGTCACCACGGAGACCCAGGAAGCAGGGCCCAACCTAGATCTAGAGCCTCCCTCCCTTCCCTGTCTGGGACAAGGCTGGGCCTGACGTCAAGCCCCCCAGTCCCTTCTAACTGGAAAGTGACCGTGGTGGATACTGAGCAATCGTGTGATTCTCGGTGGCTTTGGACCCAGTACCCCACCCCCCCATGATGCTGGGTTATGGAGGGCTCCTTCCCCCAGATAAGAGAATTCCCCCGGCGGAGCCCCCTGCCTCTCCTATTCTGAGTGCCCAGAGCCCCTGTGCCCGGCCCTGCACAGGGACACTCCACTCCCCAGAAGCAGGTGGGCACAGACGGCTCCTTTTCTTTTTTTTAAAAAGGACCATCTCTTCCAAACCATTTCAGAGAGAACCAGAGAGGGACAGGAAAGGCAAGGCCCCTTGTGCCACACTCCAGGGAACAGATCTGTCAAAGTCACTTACTTGCAGTACAGCGATTTTCCTGCTCTGAATGGAAGGGGAACTAACTGTCAGCATACCACCAAAATGTCGGGGGGGGGGTGGTGGCCATGGGGGTGAAGAGATGGCCCTCCAGGCAGGAAATGTTGGCCACACAGCCCGATCTGTTAGTGCCTCAGGGGCCCCAAACCCTGGCCTGTCCCCCCCAAGGGACCAGGTGCACAATGATTGACACCCCTTAATAGCTCAGAGCTGTTGATTTGGGGTACCCCAAAGCAATTCTCCCCTCAGGGCCTTTGCACTTGCCATTTCCAGATCCCTGGAGAGCTCTCCCTTCAGTTTGCTGCCTTTTGCTTTTAGGTGTTAGGTCAAATGTCACCTCCTCCTCAGGGAGGCCCAGCCTGAGCACCATGGCTAAAACAACACCTCCACTATCATGTCACTTCTTAGGTTTGGGGTGTGATATATTCTGCTGTCTGATCATCTTTTTCTTCTTTTTTGGTCAGTTACTATTCAATCAGTCCAATTTTCTCTCACAGTTTTTGAAGTATCAGTTTGAATCATATAATAATACTGTCTATTAGAAATGGCCTGATATGGTCAATTCTGTAGGGTTCCACTTGACATGACTTAACAGTCCCATGCAGAACTCTGACGCCAATGGCTTGAAGAGAGCCCGCCGACCCGGGGAGCTGTGTGACTCCGTCACATCTTGTGCTCCCACCAGACAACCCGGCTCCCAGCTAAGCTGGCTGTGCCCCTAGAATGGTCTTGCCCTGTGTCTGGCTTTCTTTGCCCATCACAGGACATCCATCCATCCACCCGTCAGCCACATGGAGCTTGGAGCATCCCTCATTACTCCTGGATCTAGAATGTCCCTCAAAGATCCACGTGTTGAAGGCTCGGTCTCCATCCAGCCCAAGGTGCTATTAGGAGGTAGTTGGACCTTTAGGAGGTGGGTCCTGGTGGACGTTGGGTCCCTGGGAACATGTCTTTGAAGGGGATATTGGGGCCCTGGTCTCCTCTTCACAGGCTCCTGCGATGATACACTGGGCCATCCCATAGTAGAGACAAGTGAAATCATGAATCAAAATAAACCTTTTCTTCTTTCAGAATGATTACCTCAGGTATTTTGCTACAGTGACGGAGAGCTGACTAACACAACCCCCACTGATTGTGCCAAGTGCAAACTTAGTCCCAATGAAACCCATCGTGATAGGAGAGGTTGAAGGCTCGGTCTCCATACAGCCTTTTAAAGAAGTTATCAGGGCTGGGGATGTGGCTCAAGCGGCAGCGCGCTCGCCTGGCATGCGTGCGGCCCGGGTTCGATCCTCAGCACCACATACAAACAAAGATGTTGTGTCCACCGAAAACTAAAAAATATTAAGAAAATTCTCTCTCTCTCTTAAAAAAATAAAATAAAAAAATAAATAAGTTATCACTGACGGAGGGAGGAAGTGCTGGGGAGTGATATTTGCCAAGTTATTTTGTTATCTTGTGTGCGTGTCTGAATACGTAACAACAAATCCCATCATTATGTACCAATAAAAAATTCCCACTGAGATGGAAATGTAAAGTGACTCAGACACTATGAGAAGTAGTCTAGAAGTTAATCAAATTGTCAGAGCTACTGTATTATCCAGAAATTCCCTAGGTATAAACCCAGGAGAAACGAAAACATACATCCTTATGAAAGCTGGACACTAATGTTCAGTGTTATTTATGTGGCTCACAGGTTTGTACAGCCCAAGTGTCCATCAACCCACGCATGGATAGACAAAATGTCCGTCCACAGAATGAAATATGTTCAGCAATTAAAAGGAAAAGAGGTATCAGTATGGTTAGAATGTCACTACCAAAGACGTGCTGAAATTTTATCTGTATTGGGGGGTATTGAGGGCAGAAACTTAATTCAACTAGGTTCATGGACTAGAACCTGCAAAACTGTGAGGCAAAATCAACCTTTTCTCTTTATAAGTTGATTATCTTGTGTATTCTGTTATAGTGATGGAAAGCTGGCTAGTACATCATCCAATATTGAGCTTCCCACCCTGAGCCACATAAATCTTCATTCTTTATAAATTAGTCTGTGGTATTCAGATTTAGCAATTTTTAAAAAACCATACACAAAGACAAATAATGACACATGAGACAACATAGACAGACTTCGAAGTCAGACACAAAAGGACAAATCTTGCGATTCATTTGTATGAAACATCCAAAAGAAGCAAATCGAGAAAGCACATGGGTGCTTCACTGATGCAGGAGAGCACCCTGGGCTGACAGCGAAGGGCACAGGGGCTTCTTCTTGGAGTGATGGAATGTTTCACAGTGACCGTGGCCAGGGTTGCACAACCCTGTGTGTAAACTAAAAGCCATCGAATAGCCCACGCTGAACAGGTGAGCTGTCCGTATGTACAGGAATCCTGTCTCCATCAGGAGGCTAGGGTTGGCCATGAATGGACTCCTCCTCGCCCTGTGGGCGTCTTCACTGTAGACCCTGCTCCCACCCAGCAGCCAGAGGGACCCTGTCACCTGCTATTCAGTCAAACCCCCATGTGTGGCTGCAGAACCCGAGCCCCCCCCCCACCCCCAGGCTTTGGGGCCTTGGCACACACTGTTCCCAGGGTTGGGAAGCTCCCGGCCCCTCGCCCAACTTCCCCACCCTCGGACCTCACCTCACCTGCAAGAGGGCTCGCCCGAGATTGAGGATGTGGCAGCAATGACATAAATGTGCTCCAATGACTGTCCCCAGGGGAAGCGTGCCCCGAAGGGGCAGGGCCTAAAAACTGTCCCTTGCCGAGTCCAGTGCCTGGTTCATAGAGAAGCTCATATTACTGGATGGGTGTGTGGAAGAGGGGGGTCGTTCCAGGCCCAGGGAGTACAAGGGCGGGTGTGGAGGTGACCTGGGAGCTGAGGGACTCTGGAAGGGAAGGGCTGCAGCAGGCTGGGCCCTGGCCCAGGAATCCTGCCAAGGGGAGGCCCTGCACCCACCCTGACCCTGGGGAGGAGGCCCAGGCTTCCCTGGAGGGTGTCCACTGTGGCCCTGTGTGCACGGTGGGATCTTGGGTCCCTGGCACTTTGTAAGTGCCCAACCAAGCCATGACCTCGGGGATGTTAGGAAAGGACAGCCCTCAGACCCTGTCCCGTGTAGTCCCTGAGCCTGACCAAGTCCAGGGGCTGAAGGAGGGCCTGAGGTCACAGATGGAGGGTGGGGATGAACAGGCACAGGCCCCCTCAGGGCCCTGATCCCACGAGCCCTTCTGGGGCCCTCACGGGAGCCAACAGAGACCCTGCAGAGGAACGGATGCTGGCTTGATGCCGAAGGGCTGAGGGTCTCTGGTACCTGGGATGGTCACCTGCTGAGGCTGGGGCCTGATGTCCAGGGGGCCAGCTGTAGGACAGGAAGTGGCCACACTGGTGGAGAAAGAGGGTTCCCCTGTGGCCACCTCTGTAGTCCTTGCAGCGACTCCTGACCCCACACTCAGGGTCACCTGAGCCCCACCTGGCACATGCCCCACCCTTCCAGGGCCTGCCCGTCACCCATTTGGTTGGCAGCTCAGGTGGGCACCCCCTGTGGACACTGCGTGTCCAGTGGCTAGGTGGCAACTCTGGGGGATGACAGACTGGGGTGGCCAGGGGCACGCCCACACAGCACCACCCTCACGTCTGCAGACTCCTCCGGCTGGACCCAGAGGAAAGGGACAGCGAGGAGTGTCCTGGGAGTGCTGGGGTGGGGGGAAGGTGCCCAGGGGTGAGGATGTGGCCACAGCCGGGAGAACCACTGAGTGCCTTTCCCGTGAGGCCTGGACCGCGGTGCCACCTCAGCCCTGGGACGATCCAGAGGAAGGGCCTGCCTGGCCGGGAACCTCAAGGGATATCCAGCCCTGCCCCGCCCCCCAGGAGCCCACAGCCTGCCCCTTCCCCATGAGGACGAGGATGAGGGTGGAAAGAGACCTGGAGGGGGTGCCGGGGTCAGGGGGTCTTTATTGGCGAGTGTGGGCACAGAGGGGACGGAGGGGCGGGGGGCTCAGTGGCCACACGGCAGCATGTCCAGGGCCCCCGAGGCAGTGGTTTCCAAGGCACTGGAGCAGCCCACGCTGGGCACAGCAGGAGCAGTGGCCCAGCACCACTCTCCCAGAGCAGGCTGCGTCCTCGCAGTGGGCAGGCCCTTGGCAGAGCCGCTGGGGACCCGTCAGCTCCTCCGGTGAGACCTGGAGGCCTTCTGCCGGTAGATCTCCGCGGTGAACGGCCTGTGGAGCAGGGAGGGCTTCAGTCGGCTGGCCAGGCACCACAGCCCTGTCCCACCCTGCCCCACCAGAACTCAAACTGCCCTGCCCCCAGTGCCAACGGGACCAGGTCCTTACTGTCACCCAGAGCTGCTGGGAGCCTTCAGAGTGTGGGAGAAGCCACATGGGTCCAGGGCCTCCTGCCCATGTGCCTGGGTCTCGCAGGCCCTAGACGCGACCCCTCTGAGCTTCCCAACCTGTGACTGGCGTGGCCCAGTGGGCAGAAGCCGCAGAGCTTGCCTGGCCACAGGGAAAGGCCGATCACACTGACCCCTGCCCTGCCGGCCCCTACTCACTCCTCATACAGGACGGCCACCATGTAGACAAGGGCCACCATCACCGTCAGCAGCAGGCCCGTGGGACTGGCATGTCTGTGGGGACAGATGCATGGTCAGTGGGGTCCAGCCGCCTCCTGCTACCACAGCAGGTGCTCGGCTGACACTGGGACCACTGGGGACAAACGAGCTGAGCTATTCCTGAGCCCAGCTTCCTGAGCTGGACTTCCAGTGCCCCATCCTCAGGGTCCTGAGTCCTGACCGTCTCTCCATCGGCCTCTCCTGGATGGCTGGGTCCTCTTGGGGTGGAGCCTGCACCCCTTCTTTGTCTCAGGCCAGGCTGGAGCTCAGGACACTGGGGGAGCCTGTTCTCTTGTGCCCAGGAGATTCTTCTGGGGCAGAAAACGCTCCCCCCACCTACCAGGGACAATGTTGTTAGGAAACAAGAATTTTCTAGAAAGCTAGTCTGGGCCCTCCAGAACACACAGCCCGCTGGCAGTTCCTGCCACCTGAGCCCCAGGCCCTGCCCACAGGTGCAGCCCCTAAAGCCACGGCCCTGAACGCTCTGGCTATGGGGGGAGGAGGCTCCACTTCCTCCCCACCCCAGCCCTGGCCAGGCCGCCTGGGTGGTAGGTAGGCAGCCTTGCCCGCGCAGGCCCAGCTGAAGCCCCCACCCTGGCCCGGAGGTTGTACAGCCCCAGGCAACGCGTGCAGTGGGCCCAGGCCTGGCCAGAGCATCTGTCACAGGCTCTCTGCTGGTGACCAGCCTCTGACCTTGCTGTGCCGAAGAGCGCTGGCAGCTTGTTAGTGACGGCATTGAGGAGCCTCTGAGCATCTGCCTCAGGTTTCCAAAAATAGCTGCTGTCAAGCTGTCCCCCAAGCTATTTCTACAGTTACCTCTGATCCCACCAGCTCCCGCAGGGGCCGGACTGCTGCGTCCAGATCAGCGGGAGAGAGATGAGGGCTTGCTGGTGAGGCACAGTCGGGGCCCAGGAGGAGGAAGTGGGCAACACTAGCCAGGCCTCAGGCTCTCCTTGGCTGCCCTCCAGCCAGCCAGCACAGGCTCCCTGGGTGGGGGCAGCCCCAAAGCAGAGGTCCCTGCAGGGACTCTCTGCCCCTCCCACTCCCTGGCACCTGGACCTCACAAGTCTGTCCGTCTGGGAGCTCTGGGAGGAGACAGAGCAGATGCAGATACAACAAAATCCTGAGCCCAGGCTCCAGTGCTGGGCCCAGGGTCCAGTGGCATCCTCTCTGTGGGCACTGAGGAGGACAGAACCCCGGCCTTGCACGACATGGAATGAGAAGCCTGCCTGACCCCACAGCTCAGCCCCCACCTCTGCCACTGTCCCTAGAGTGGGCTCACTGCCACATGGAGATGTGACACCAGAGACGTTTTCGGGGTAGACATGGAGTCTGCCCACCTGGGCTTCCCTCCCTGCCCCACGACGGTCTTCTAGAACGAGCAGAGCCTCTCAGCACACACCAGGCATCCCAGGGAATGGGGAGGCTGGCAGGAGCAGGCTGACTGGCCCCAGGGTGCACCTCTGGTGGCCCCAAGCTTGTGGTATCCCCAGGACCGATTCTTTACTGCTCAGGACAAAGCTCCCTAGGAGCCCCAGTGACCAGGGGTGGATGTGGCCTGGCAGCTTCTGTGAGCAGCGGGTCCCTGAGCTGAACTCTCTAATCTCAGCTTGTGTCTTCCCAGAGAATCAGGTCCCCAGAGGTCAGCAGGGCTCTAAAGTAGGACTCTTCGTCTCCTCTGCCCCACCACTCACAGAGGACGTTTTTGGGGTACAGACTTGGAACTTGGAATGGTGGAAGGCCCGGGGGCTGGAGTCTAGCCCTCCTCATCCTAGCAGGGGTGGCTTTCGGCCTCTCTTGCACTGTGAGAGGGCCACAGGGAACCCTGTGATGGTCACCTGTTCCTCCTGGCTGAAGAGCCACTCTGTCTCCTGCTAGGCTCAGGGAGAAACCTGGTCCTTGGCCATGGTCCCCGTCTCACAGGGTCCTACAGGCCGTGATTGACTTTGGAGGGGAGGGCTAGCTGGTTGGGATGACCCCAGATAGACCTGCCTTGGCCAAGTCTCCTTGCCTGTGAACAGGCCCAGGCTCATTCACATGAGTCACCTGTTTGGGGCTCAGCCCATAGGAAAGCTCTCCCCTGCCCACCAGCTGACGGCAAGCCACCACAGGAGGGTGCACAGTTCCCTCCTGTAGCTCTGTGGCCGGGGGCGGGCCTGCCCTCAGTCTGTTTCCCCACCTGTTGTGGGAGGGGCTGGACTGATCCATCTTCACTTCCTTCCATGATTCCAAAATGAAACAGACCCCAGCACCCAAAGGAGTCACTGGAGTGGCCCCAGGGAGGGACTTGGAAAGCCCTTTAAAAGCCTTCCCCAGCCTCAGGTCAAGACCCCGAGGGTAAGGCCCCCTGGCAGCCACTCCACCCAGCAGAGAGACAGGTGGGACACCCCGACTTTGCACCTCAGACCTGCAGTGTGAGCAGGATGCCACCCCTTCTCAGACCTCAGCCAGCACCACAAAACAGGCCCCCACTGCCCCCAGGGCAGAGATGGCCCCAGGGCCTATGGGTGAAGTGGGGAAGGGTGTGGTGGGATTTGGGGGTGGGACAGTCCCGTTAGCCCAGAGGGGAAAAGATATGCACTCTTAAACCCCTTCTTCTTCTCATCTCCTCCAATTTTTCCCATCTGAGGTCACCCTAGGTCCAGCTTGGCCTCCTGACACCTTAACATGGAGATGCCAGTCCTGCTCTGCAGACAAGGGACAGAGGAACCCAGCCCCTGTTGGAGGGTTGCTGAGATGGCGTCCTGGAGAGAACAGGGGCTCTACACCATGTCCAGCCTCACGTCCCTCAGGAACCCCTCATCCTGGTCCACCAGGTGCCATGCCTGGGTGCTCAGCCATGGGGCCCTGGTGGATGGATGGGCTGTGGGTGTCCTGGAAGCGGCCCTGCTGAACCATCGTCTGGCAGATGGGTAATGGCTCGTCTCTAATGAGCCCTTGCCTCTCCTCAACGCTGTGTGGCTAACGTCCTTGGAGGCAGCTCTCAGGTGTTATGTGTTCCAGGGTGACTTTCACTCTGGGCACCAGACAGCTGGGGACATGTGTATGGGTGCTTCCCTTGGAGAGAAAGGCCACTGATTGCTAATTCCAGCACAGGGGGTTTGGAGAACAGAGGGGCCCCCACGGGCCAGGAGGTTTCCCTAGCAGAGGGAGCACCTTAAGGTGGGTTTGGAAGGCCTGACCAGGGGTGGAGTGGGGGATCTGGGCAGGAGCAGCAGTGTGTGTGTGTGTGTGTGTGTGTGTGTGTGTGTGCATGCGCTGGCCCTAGAGGGGTGTCGGTGTGTCAGGGAATCGGGAGGCTGCCAGCAGAACCCGGGGAAGAGGGCCTGTCTCACTCTGAGCTCTTCCTCAGGGTCCTTGGATCCTCTGTGTGCTGAGTGAGTCTGGTGACAGGCACATCTGCCCCTTATCAAAGTCCACTGCCCAGGTCCAGGCAAGAGGGGCTGTGCTGAAGGCAAGTGGGAGGGACGGTCCTCAGGTGAGCTTATAGGGCTGGGGACCATGTGGTCTGGGTGTGGGTGAGGGCAGGGTGGCTCCCAGCCAGACCCGCAAGCCCCTTCTAGCTTCTCGTCACTGACCCTAGCGGCTGTGATCTCAGGAGGGAACATCTTGCTCCTGACATCCACTCTGCGGGATCTAATCTTTTGGGGTCCTTCTGGTTTCTGAGAACACCTACAACATTCTAGACAAGTAATTTTCAAATGTTAAATAAAAGCAGCAAAGATGCTTCCTACAAAAAACTCTCCAAAAACGGAAGAAAATGGACTGATCTGAGCTGCCAGGCAGGAGCGGGGAGGGCACGGTTTGCAGAAGCAGGCAGAGGGCCCACAGTACAGCCTCCTTCACCACAGGGTCTTGTTAGTGCCCACACTGACCATGGCAGACTGAGGTCCTGGGCCCACTTGCACTGGCACCAGGTGGCTCTCTGTGGGAGGAGGGCATCTGACCGCACAGGTTCGGACCAGCTCCCCTGTCAGGAGCGCCCTGGAGGACATAGGGGTTTTGGTCAGCCAGGGCTGGCTCTGTGCTCCTGGGCGGCTCATGTGGCCCCTCTGGCATGTGGGACCAGCACATTGCTTGGGGATTTCTCAGCCCTAACGTGCTAATTCAGGGCTCAGCAAACACCAGCCCCAAGACAGAGAACACTTTTTACATTTTTAAACAGGTGAAAGAATCCAAAGAATATTTCATGACACATGAAAATGACCTGAAATTCCAACTTCAGTGTCCACACATGAAGCTGCGTGGCCCACACCCACTGTTCCCCATGTCTCTGCACATACTTGTGCTACAGGGCACAACTGAGTGGCTATGCCCTGCCTGTGGCCCTGAACTCCCTGGCCCTTTAAAAGGAAGCTCACCAAACCCTGTTCTGGGAGGTTGTTCCTGTTGCCACAGATAAGAAACTCCTAAGAAATCAGAACCCAGATGCCCTTGGCTCCCTGAATGACCTCCCCCTCCGGGGCCCAGCAGGTGGGGCACAGGCTGGTACTCACAGGACGGCCCAGCCCAGGTAGTTGGCCGTGCTCCCCCAGTACATGGGGTTGTCCACGATGTTGAAGGGGAATGTGGTCACTCTTGCCTCCTTGAGGATCCCAAAGTAATCACCTGTGGATGAGGCAGGGCAGGATGGGAGGGTCACCGGGCCATTTACGTCCCCTGGACTTACCATTCCTGAGGAAGGTAAGACAGGGCCCTGCCATCAGGGGGGCAGGTTCAGCACACACAGCCATCAGAGGGCCCCCCACAAGCCGCAGATGCTTTGGAGGGTGCGAGGCCCCAGGGTCTGGGTTGCTGAGCCCCACCCCACATCAGCACCTGCTCAGCCCTCTATCTCCGAGCTCCCCCATACTGGCCTTGCACTTCTTCCTTGCCTCTGTGACTTTGCAAGTGCTGTCCCCTCTTGGCCTTGGGCATTTCTTTTCATAGCTCCCCCCTCCCCCCCCACCCTGGCCAACTGCTCTCCCTCGGGGGAAGACAGGGGCCACCTCAGGCTTCTTGCAGGACTGCTCTGGGCAGGAAGAAGTGACCGAGGGATCACAGGCACGGCAGTCATCACAGGCTCCATACTGCGGTTCAATAAAGGACGCCCCGCGCCCTCCCCGCCTCCTCTCCCAGACATCCTGCCTTTGTTTCCTGCCAGTCTGGGGGAGACAGAGCTTCATCTCCACCAGAAAGTAGGGCAGCAGCATGACAAGGAGAAGCCACCAGTAGGAGGGGCCTGGGAGGCACAGTGCAGCCCATTGTTGGGGACAAAGAGTGCAGGGGGCCTGAGGAGCCACCAGAAGACTGCTGGGAGCCTCTTTCTTCCCAGGAAGTGGGAAGTGGGGCAGTGGGGCCTGGAGGCAGGTGGTGGGGAGAGGCTCTTCGGGCTCCTTCCTGAGGAAGTGACCGCCTTGGCCTACATCCAGCGCCTGTTGGGTCCCTCTAGCATTTCTAGGCCACATCTTCTGGGGAGGTCCGTCCCAAAGCTGCAGTCACCCAGCACTCTGCCTGGCTCTTCTAACTGTCCACCCACAGCAGCCTCAGGGTGTCCTTCCTCCTCCCCAGGACTCCACCAGCCCTCGGTCTGCAGCCATCATGTCCATACCCACCCAAGCCTCCACCACTGCGGGGTGCTAACCTCTGAACAGCGCTGCACCCCGTCCTCCAGTAGCCCCAGGCACTCCCTACCCCCAGGTCCAGGCAGAGCCCTCCTGGTCTTCTTGCCCCCAGCATGGCGAGGACCACTTCCTGACCCAGGGTTCCCGACCTCCAGTCTCAGTCCCACCAGTCCCTGCTCCTCCATACGGGTCCCCTTCCCTGCTCCCAGCTCCCTCAGAATGAAGCCTCGCTTAGCCCCATGCATGACGGGGTCCTCCGCCTGACCTCCAGTCCTGCCCTGGCTGTGCCCCTATACAGCTGTGTCCTGCTGCCCTGTCAGCCCCCCATTCCTCTGTCCTAAGGCCTTGTCTTCTCCTGCCTGCACCTGCAGACCCAGATGCGCAGCTCCCCTCTCCCAGGGTCCCCATCTCTGCTCTTGTAGGGCGGCTCCCTGCAGCGCCTGCCTGGGCAGGAAGCACAGAACCAAGGGCAGTGCTGCCCACTCCCGCTGTCCCAGCAAGGCCCTGCCCAGGCAGCCAGGAAAGCAGGGCTCAGTGACATCTGATCCCTTTGGGCCTAGCTAGTCCTGAACACACAGTCACACAGAGTTTGGGGCTGGTTCCTGGGGACAAGGCCAAGGTGGATGGGGCACTCTGCACAGGGATGCCAGGCAAGCTGGCAGGACCCCATGGACTGCCACCAGGCCCTGCAGAAGGCTGAGGCCCAGAGTCTGCATCTGGCCAGGGGCTGGAGAGGGAGGAAGGACCACGTTAGGTAGAGCCTGCATGTGGGAGGAGCTCCCTCTATGGACGGGCAGCTGCCAGCCTCCCTCTGCCCCTGCCCCAGCCTCCTCCTGCTGGTTTTGCCCTCAGCTCCCAGGTTTCCAAGGAGCTGGAAGCTGCTGTTATCATGGCAGGGAGTGGATGTCTGGCCAGGCCAGCACTGGGCACCCATTCCCAAAGTATAAGAGCCATAGGGACTGAAGAATGAAGAAGAGACAATGCCCCTCCACCCTGCACCCCACCCTAGGCCTGTGCCAGCCCTACTGGTGGCCCAAACACAACAAGCCAAGACCCCATCTGGCCTGGCAGCCAAGCATTCTGGGAGCTCCCCAGGGCTAGCAGGGCATGGCTGTGACCGTGCACCCAGGAAGAGTTACCACTGCTTCTGTCCATGCCAACAGGACCCCAGGGGGCCTTCTGTGAGGTAAATGTGGGCCCTGCTCAGGGCAGCAGGGAGAGCCCTCATTGCCCCCCCAGGAGGCACAAGTCCACTGTCCAGGAGTCAGATGAGATAGTAGAGCCCAACCCCCCCCCCCCTTTTAGCCATGGACAGGCCAAACCCAGAGGTGGTGGTGGAGCTGGGAGTCAGCTGGGTCCCTGGTGCTTCCCAGGGAATGTCACAGATGGCAGGTGACAGCCACGGGGCCCCACTCATCCTTGGACCCCAGTGTACCTGCTCAAGCTCCCCCAGCCCTGGGTCTTACCTAGAAAGGTTCCGGTGAATCCAAGTGCAAAGAAGCTGGACAGCACAAACAAGGTGCCCACGCCCAGGAGCACCAGGCCCAAGCAGAAGGCGGCGGGGTTATCCAGGCCCTCCATCTTGGGTTGGCGCAGCATGGCCTGTGTGAAGCTGCAGGGCAGGGGACAGAGAGCACGTCACAGCACTGGGACAGGTTCCCTGACGTCCTTGATTCTGCTCCATGACTCTCAGAAGGTAGTCAGCCTGGGAGTCACACACTCGGTGCCTGCTGCAGGTGGGGTCCAGGCCACCTTGAGAGTCCTGACTGCCACAGGAGGGGACAGGAACAGGGGCCCAGGCTGCCAGAGATTTTGGTTTTTCTAGAAGCCAGAAATCCTGACCTGCATATGAAATAGGTCACTCATGACAACCATCTGGGACTCTGTGCAGGCAGCTGGTTCAACCCCAGGACCACTGGTCTGTGAGCTCTGGTCCTGGCCCTGAGCAGCTCGTACTCTGGAGGAAGGTGAGCCTCAAAAGAGAAAAGGTGCACGTGCCAAGCAGGCGGCCCAGCAGGCCCAGCACCTGACTGCCCTCTCCTGGCACAGGCCACATGAGGTCTTGGGCACCATTCTCCCAGCACCCACGTGCACTGAGCCTGGGGTGGGCTCCGCACTGCCCATTTGACTCCCAAGACCCCTGCATAGGCCAGGCCACACCCAGGCAGCTAACTTGAATTTTAGGGCACCTCAATGGCTTCTTAGTGTCCTCTTCCCCCCCCCCCCCCCAGTTCTCCGTTGGCCTTCCTTTGGAGCTACACTATTGAAGGCCTTACACAAAGGCTGTGGGATAACCAGAAAGGGGGTGGCTGTGATGGCCTGTCAGTGGGTTAGGGTGGGTTCTTCAGTGGGACTCTCCTTTCCTGGAGTGGAAGACCTGGAGCCAGTGGGGAACAGGCCCCGATAGGAAGGAGTGGGCACTGGTGAGACAGAGGCACTGGACGTTAGACCAGAGGCACACCCAAAGGAAAGGATGTGTGTGGGCATGCACGTGTGGGATCCAAACCGGCATTTCCCGTTTCCCCATGATCATGACATTCAGGACAGACATGAAGATCTGCTGCTCACCCACAGCAACTTACACTCACTCTGTGCCGCACACCTTCCAGCAAGGCAGCTCACCTCCCCACCCCCATCCCCGATCCATCCATCCATCAACCACCCACCCAACCCTTCAACATCCACCCATCCACCTAATCATATATCCACCCATCCACGCATTGACCATCCATCCATCAATCATCCATCCATCCATCCATCCATCCATCCATCCGTCAACCATCCATCCATCCATCACCCATCTATCCGCATACCTACCCACCAGTGCACTCATCCACCTACCCATCCCCTCTGCACCCAAGCACCTGTCCAGTCATCTGTGCACTTTTGTCCATGCATCACTGAGTGTCTTGCTTGCCAGGCTCTTTCGGCAAAACACATTTGCTGTCACTCACTCCAGCAGTGACAGCAGACTGCTGTGGCACTATCCTTAGGCTGCACTGCACGCTGTCTCCCTAGACTTCTTTCCTCAGCTAGACTTTCTGGCACCCAACACAAGAAGGCATAGTAGGTGGGCCAGAGAAGGAGGGCCTGTCACCCACACCATAGCAGAGGCTGCAGGTGACCTGTGAGCAGCAGCACACGGTCAGGTCAGGACAGACCCAGCCTGGTCACGCTGCCCACACTCTCAGTTCTCCACCCACTACCCTTCCTCAGCCCTTCTGCTGCCCGGGCTCAGGGTCACCCTGCAGCTCCAGGCTGAGCCACTGGAATTGGTGCAGGGTCAGAGCTGCCATGGAGCCAGGAAGCATCACCCACACCCAATGTTGTGAGGGGAGGCCATACCCATGTCCCCCACCCTCTGGGCAGCCCTGGGACCCAGACCCACCCTCAGCCTGCAGGCCTAGCTTCTGAGGCCACCAGGTTTTGTCACCACCAGCCTTGGCATCCCCCACATTGTCCAAGCAGATAGGAAGGGCACGGAGAGGACCAGGCACCAGCAGGACTGAGCCCTGCCTGGGTCTCCCACAGGCACCCATGGGGGCCGTGGGTGATGCTAAGGGTCTGGGTTGCTCTGACCGCCCAGCCTCCAGGCTCAGTCCACCCGAGCCCAGGGGCAGTGAGGCTCGTGGGGCTCCCTCTGGGCAGCCCTGGGCTGCGCGCCTTGAGTCTCTGGGGTCACCAGTGGGCTCCTGAGAGAAGAGGGGATGGGGCTCCAGACAGGGGAGTCCCAGCCTCAGCCTGCCCCTCTGAGAACTGGTGACCCTCCCCTGCTCCCGCGCATGAAGCTTCTGCTGCGTGAGTGCCAGGGGACACTGTGAGGAGTGCCGGGAAGGTCAAGTTGCCAGAGGGCCGTGCCAGCTTGGGGCAGTGGTGTAGGGTGCAGGAGGGAAGGGATCCTGCAGCCCAGCTACGAAGGAAGAAGGGGTCCCGGGGAGGGGGGTGGACAGGGGGAGCACTCCAGATAAAGGACTGGCCGGCCGGGTGCCTTGGGGCTGGAGCAGACGCAGGGAGGGATGCGCAGAGAGGTGAGGGGCCTAGTGTTGTCTGGAATGGATTCTGGGCGCGTACGGTGCAAGAGCAGAACAGACACCAGTCAGATCATGCAACACTGGGTGAGTCACTAGGGCAGAGTCGAGGGGGCCAGGAGGCCAGAGGGGCACTCTGGAGGGGGACCTTACTGTGACTGACTCCTTTCTGCCCAGGGGCAGAGAACAAGGCCACTCACTGCTGGGCCTGTTTCACGCTCTTGGTGGGTCATCTTGAAGGTTCCTCATCCAGGGGAAGCTTCTGGGCCAGTGAATGGGCAGTGACGGGCTGCCCCAGTCCCCTCCTGAGCTGGCTAATGGTTCCTGGGCCTGTGGTTGCAGCCCAGGGCTGCCAGCAGGAAGATCGACCTCCCTTCAGATGCTGGGATGAGGCCAGAGCCCCCCCCAGAGCGCCCTGGGATCACCGCTCCAAGAGTCCTCAGAGAAACCTGGCAGTCCTCCCCTCAGTGGTCTAATCTTGGCTCAGCCAGCCTTGAACACGCTGTGACACAAGTGGCGGGCTTACTGGAATCGATGCCCAATTAGGCGAGCGGTGTTCCAGCCCCTCCAGTAAGCCAGGAAAGCACAGTCCATCCACCCATAGAATTAACAGAGGGACAAGGAGCTCGGTGGCTGTGCGCTCTGCGGCAGAATGGGGTAATAGGAGCAATTTCCTCTGGGAATATTCTGCACAGGGATGGGGGTGAACAGAGATTTATTCATGCGCCTTGGGTTCTATTTTTAAAACATGGATTGAGCTTCTGGTCACCAATGTGACCTGAGGCTGACTGTATTCTGCTTCCCTGAAATCCCGGAAACCTGGGGTATACGTGGGAGAGGGGCATCGGGAGCCCGGGGGATCATACCAGGTCACAGGCAACTGGCCACCTAGCGTCCACAGCCCCAAGGCAGACCTGTCCCCTGTTCCCATCTGAAACTGACAAAAAAACACTTCCCTAACCTCAGTCATTAAGTGGGCCTCCGTGTTCACGTTGCTGGGTGGCATAAACTGGCACATACTTCATATTCTCCTTTATCTCAGGGCAAGATGAACTTGCTCTTCTCCTTAGACTAAGCAAGACAATCCATGAAATGAGCAATCTAATGGACTCATTTTCCTAACATGTATAAAACAAAAATGGATTTGAACATGTAGTCCCCACAAAACCACCTGGGGACTTGAATTTAAGGCCAACGTGCTACACATCTACAGATCTGAGTGACAGGGCAGCTTTTCAAAGTGTTTCCAAAACCCACAGCAGCCCACAGAGACTCTCATGTTACAAAAAAAGAAACAGATGGGTCGGGGCCTGGATGGCAGGAGCCCAGGTGAACGGCTTCTCCTGCCTCCCCAGACCTGTGAACAGTGCAGAACACCGGCTGCCTAGGGGTGGAAAGCCAGTCCCCACGGGTGTGGGGGGCTCTTCTTCTCACCATTCCAGCTGCAGAAGGCAGGCTCTCCCTAAGTCCTGGGCCCCACCTGACCTTGCCCAGGCTGAGATGCACACCCTCTTCTTTCCTCAGATCCAGGAAGTCTAACCCAGTTCCCCTTTCTGACCAGTTCTCCAGCTGCCTGCAAGGAAGTCCACTGGTGACTGCCAGAAGACCCCCTGGGCTTCCTGATGCTTTAACAACACGGCCACATCTCCTCCCAAGGCCACTGGCTGCCAGGCAAGACAGGCAGGAGGAGAGGCTGCAGACTCAGCCCTGCGAAGCCAGCTGTCCACACCACCCGGACCTCACAGGCCTTCCTCAGGAGCAATACGGTGGCCCCATAGAAGGCAGTGGCTCCAGGCTACCCAGGTCTGGCTGAGGCTGGCTGGCAGGGGGGAGGCCATGGGGAAGGGGTTTCAACAGATGCCCTGAGCCTATCAGGCCTCCCTCCCGATCGCGCTCCACAGCCAGAGCAAACAAACCTGCACTAATTGCCCACTTGGGTCTGGACTTAGCACCATTAGCCTCCAGATAACAAGCCAGCTCATCCTGCCCCAGCCCTCCCCAGACCACCAGCTGGTGCAGACCAGCTGACAAAGTGGCCCCCTGGGATCCACCAGCAACTGCAGGGCCCTGGCCTCCCTCTGGGCAGGCAGGCGAGCTGACTGCACAGTGCCCCTTCAGACCCCCCTCTCTGTGACCTGGAGTCAGTTCAAGTGCATGTGTGTTCTCTTCACTCTGCGCAGCCCCCGGAGAACAACACACCGAGAGTGTCCAGAAAAGGCCAATCCATGGGGACAGAAGGAGGATGAGCAGGGGACTGGGCAGAGGGGGCGGGTACCTGCTTCATGACACTGGGACTTTCATTCTGGAACTGTACAAAAGAGGTGGTTGCACAATGCTGGGAACTAGTAAATGCCACTAGTAAATGTACCTTAATATGGCAAACTGTCACGTGTGGTTTAATATATATCAGAATGCACAGGTCTAGGTGTGGGCCGAAGTGAGGCACTGGGAGGGGTGTTGGTGGATGCAAGGGGGCAGGAGCCCCCAGGCAGGAAGGGTCCTGAGCAGAGTTCCTCCCCAAAGCCCCCTCCCCACCCCTGCACCTGAGCCCACGTGCCACACACCAGCCAGTGTGGGGAGGGAG